TGAATGTGTGACTTGATAAGGATCATAAAAAACTGCTTGCAAACAGAGACTTCATATCAAGTGTTACCTGAGTCTCTTTGTACTCAACTGGTAAAGAGGAACCTCATTCTCCCAGGTGTCCATTTTTCTGCTGTTCAGGATAATGATATTAAAAGTAATATTAACTTTTGTGGCAAGCTCAGGCAGGTTTACCAAATGATACTGACTTTGGTTGTCCTTGTTGATAATGACAATGATTGATGTGTTAGCCTATTTCAAAAGAAGTCAGAAAAAGGACTGCTATAGCAATGGAGCTGATCATTGACCATCGCATCTTGTTCCTGGATGAGCCCACAACTGGTTTAGACTCGAGCACTGCACGTGATGTCATTTTGCTCTTGCAATGGTAAGTGGCAGAGGAACATTTTGTTTCAATTTATTTAATACTGGTCACTTTTATGTACGAGATATTCTTGGTATGGGGGATTCAGAAGTAAACAACTGAATTTTATGAGGAACATTTTGTTTCCATTTATTTAATACTGGTCACTTTTATGTACGAGATATTCTTGGTATGGGGGATTCAGAAGTAAACAACTGAATTTTATTAGAGGAAATCAGTCAGTTACCAACGAAGAAATATCAAGAACAATGAAATGAGCATAGGGATGGGTGGTCATTGTGAGGGTGCAGCACTAACTTAAATAACATATGGGGGAGCACTTCCAGCATGTGACAAGTGAGCTGTGCCTGAGTTGGTATGACCTGACTTTGGCAGAAGAGACTTCAGGCTGGAAGGAAAAGACAGAGACTCTGATGCAGAGTATTCCTCGTGTGTCTGGAATATCATGGAATCAAGATGGGTTAGGACCCAGAGGTCTGAGGGGATGGAGGTTGGCTAGTGTACTCTTGTAATAAAACACCACAGACTGGGTGGTAACAAAAGAAATTAATTTTCTTAGCGTTCTGGAGGATGGAAGTCAGATATGAAGGTATCAGCAGGTTTCTGTCACCCAAGACCTGTCATATTGATTTATATATGGTGTCTTCTCCCTCTGTGTGTGACTATACCCTGATCTCTTAAATAGACATCAGTTACATTAGGACTCACTAGTGATCTCCTTTAACCTTAATTACCTCTTTGAAAACATTAACTCCAATTATAGTCACATTCTGAATGCTTGGATATTAGATCTTCAACATCCAAGTCTTTGGGCACATACAGTTATGCCCTTCACATTTAGGACTGAAATGAAGTAGGCTTGGCTGCCCTATACATACATACATACATTATATATATATATATTATCTGGACCACATCGACCACTGTAGGGAGTTTGCCCATGGCAGAGGATGTGGGAAGCTTTTTGAGAGTGTTACAGAGGAGCATTGCACACTTGTGGAGAAGGCTGTGCAGTTTGCACCAGGGTGTTTTAAGTCACACGCCAGCAGGGAGGCAGAGACACAGTGGTTCTTTAACTAGAAATGGGGGATTCTGGATACACTTTGCAGACAGAACAACTATGATGAGTTCATTTTGGACCTGGGTAGAATGGTTGAGAGAATCATGGCTGTGATTTGGGTCCTGAACACAGGGAAAAATTAAGTGAAA